AATTTAAAAGCAATAACACATTAAAAATTGAGTCCACAGTCTTGACTGATAACATTATGACAGATGAAATGTTGATATTTCAAAATTTTATATGAACCTCAGAAGAATGTTTGAGTAGTTACAAGAAATTTGGATAGTTTTATAAAGTAGTAACAAGATGATAGACAAAGTGACACAAATATCCACGCAAAAACACAAAAACATACTTCCCCCAACATATAAAAGCAAAATCGCTTATTGTCTCTATCCACACATGCGATATCTCAAATTTAGATATTATTACCATCTTGTAAAGTGTATCACCAGTGTTATGACAATTCTTAGAACTTTATATTACAATTTTAAATATTCTATCAAATAGACCAAAACATGTAGTTTAGTTTTTGTGGTAATGTTGTTGCTGTTGCTGCATCAACGCATATTAAAACCTATATATCGCATGTTTGTTGTTGAAAACAAAATTGTACTTGACTGATTATAACATCAGAATTTTCTACCTAACCAATAATTAGTAACATGGTGGAAGACAATATGTGTGTGAAACTGCATATAGGCATGTTGAAAAGATTCTCATAGAAAAGGGTTTATCATCATTAGCTCCTGAGAACAACTTTGAGCTCATTTTCTCTCTTTGAAAACGATATGTGCGCTTCTTCACAATTTTCCACAGCTAAAACGAAAATATCATCAAAAAGTTTTATATACTACGATTATAACATAAAATAAATTTGACCAAAAAATTATAAAAATACATTACGATTATTCTTTCCTGATGATGGTAGTATTATTAGTATTTGATTCTATATCCTGGAAGTGTTTTTTTAGACTGCCAATTATGACTGATAACCAAGAATAACGCACTCATTGTTAATGTTCCTTAGCCCTAAGGAGACACTCTCTTTCTCATTAGTAATGATACAAAATGATAAAAGCATTTAAAAAACTTATGGTTTAACCTAAAGCTACTTTGCAAATTTTGCCCCATCACAAAAATAAATAAATCGCATGTTTGCTTTACTTATTCCTTAGCATTATCAAACCGACTAACTAAGTGATTATCGTTTTTCAAAAGCGATATGTGATCATAGTGGTACGGGTACATATAGGCGAGACGAGAGATTTCCCCCAACAACAAATATATTTTCATCTTTTATTTACCAGCCCAAATTATCTTAACAAAAAAAAATATTTTCATCATCCAAAAAAGTATCTTCCATACTCCCTTATTTTTTACCTATCACATTTTTTTTTAATAGCGTAAGTTTAAATGAGTTCATTTCGAAATACCAGAGACTTATGTCAATTGTAGAGACACAAGGGTCAAGATCTATGCGACGGTTTTTAGATTTTTGTGGTTAGGATTTAAATTTTCATAACTTATAACTTATATAAAAATAAAAATAAAAAAATTCGATAAAGGAGATATGATCAATAAATTTACAGATATCACATATCATTTTTTTTTTTAATATTATGAAATTCTCAAAAAAAATTGTCAATATTTCCAACAATTTGCTAAAATTTGGTTAAAAGTTTATCATGTTAATTCAAAAGTAAAATTGCTGTAACACAAGTTAGTATTTGTCAATTTGAAAGTAAAGATGCGTGTATCTTGTATTGTATGAATTTCAACAAGTTAAAATTCTTAAAAATGCTTTTAGCAAATTGTATCATTCATATATGTAGTTTTGCATGATGAAATGTATATAAGGGGCTGATAAGTAATGGTCAAGCGAGTCAAAGGAAAAGCAATGAGAGAGTAGGCATTAATAAAATAGAAGCCTACGGCTCAGATTGTGTCTGTATCTTACAAGTCTAACCCTAACTCCCTACCTATATTTTTCTCCACCAATCACATCCCCCTCCTACTTTTCCTCCATACATGAATTATAATCCAATAGATAGACTAAGCAAAACTCGAATACAGAAATCTTAATAACTGAAAGACATAAAATGTCAAATTTGTGTTTTTCAGTCGATCACGAATCACCGATAAATAGATTTTAAGTAATGGATACTTGTTATAACAAAGAGGTTAATTAATAAGAGCGAAAATAAAATAAAATAACATAAACATAAACAAACTTATCAAAAATACGTGTTGTATTTGCGTATCTTATTGTTCAGACTGATTTTGAAGATATTAAATCGATTATTTTATTGCACTTTGGATAATATGTGCTCGTTTGCCTTAAGTTTTATGCGTCATTTATTCTTTGTTTTCGTTCCTATTGATGTATAAAAGAACAAACGAGAATTTCTTCTAAAACTTTTGAATCTGCAACAATGAAAAATGGATGCAACTCTCAAATCAAGGTGAGCCACTACAAATTATGCATTTTATTATTATTTTCTTACTCAATTAGTTTTTTTTTTAAAAAAAAACGGAATTGGAATCCAAATTATTAGTATAAACTATGTGCGAGGGTCACTCCCATTTATGGTTACCTACTTACTACCCAAGTATAGTACCGTCCCATACAATTATGTGGTTTAAAGCATATAATAATAAAATTATTATAAAAAATAAGAAATTTAAAATAACAATATAATAAAATTATGAAAAATGTAGAAAATATTTAAAATAATAGCAAAAAGTCATAATATAGAAAAAATTTCTAATTATAAAAAATCAGATCTTTAAACTTTTTCTTAACAAATTTATTAATAATTAAATTTTCAACCATATCTTTTTCAATAGATATCATTGATAATTTATTCAATCTCTCTTGTGTTTGAAAAATATTTAGATTGTCAAAATCAAAACTTAAATTTTCGGAATCAGATATAGATACATGTTATAGACAAAATTTTGAAAAATTTAGTGATAAAATTTGATGATAAGAAGAATTCAAAGATATGGCAATAGTCATCAATCTTTTTTTTTTACATCAAGGAAGGTCAAAAGATTTTCTTCTAATTTTATTACTAAACAGAAAAGAAATTTAAAATTCTAATAAAAAAGAAAAGAAAAAGAGAAAGTTTTCATACTTAACCATCTAAGCTTAACAATTTTTGAAAATGTGGCATAAATGTTTTTTTTTAAATTATGTGGCTCCGATTGGTAATACAATAAAACTGTAGAATTGCAGAAAAATTAAGCTGCGGAATGGTGGAATACATTATAATAGAATAATTATTTTTAATATGATTGGATAAATTATGCGGAATGGCGGAATGACAGATAATATACAAAATTAATTTTTCATAATAATATATTTTATATATAATTTGATATAATAAAAATTAAAATATTAATTATTATAAAAACATAATTTTAATATAATTAGAAAAAATTAAAACTTTTTTTGTAATTATTTATTTTTATTTTACTTTTATTTACTATAAAATATATAAATATATTACAAAATTTAATCTACAGATATAATCTGATCATTATATAAATATATGTAGTATAAATATATTTATTTAAATAATAAAATATAATTAATATATAATTGAATGATATAAAATATTGATTTCGCAAATAAGCTACTTGAAACACACTTTTCTACTTAATCAATTTTTTTTTTGTATTTTTTATAAGTATTTCCGCCATTCTGCAGAACTCGAGTTTTGGCGTTTTTCCGCTAATTTTTTTTATTGGCAAATTTCTTGCGTAATCGCATTTTTATGCTATTCCACCATTCTACAAAGTTTACCAATCACAACCTACAAAATAGAGGAAAAAAAACTCAACTGAATATTGATATCTTCTTTCAGGTATACAAATTGGGTCCCTACCAAATTCTTGTAACTCGTACGTACATGCAAATCTATATGTCTAAAAGATAATATAAAAAGAATCATGTCGTGTAATTCTACAAAGTAAAGACAATTATAATAATGAACACACGGCAATTTACAATTTCACAATTTTTCTCCTTTGAACTCCAGTATGAGATAAAGTTCGATTTGTTCCTATTAAACAAGGAATGTCTCCAAATATCTAAGCAAGAAAGAAAAAAAACATAATATACTGTTCATCTTTTTATAAGATGTAGATGCCAATATTATATTCCAATAAAGCACAGTCGAGAAAATGACGGAGATGGGGTTGCTATCAAACAACAAAGCAAAGCCCACGTGAAGGGATAATAGGCCTTAGACTTGGTCCTTTCGTTTTCTCCTCCCACTTTTCTTCTCTTAGCTATCACCACTTTTACTCATTAGTCATTACCGTTAATCACTATTACTCCCACAACCTCCTCCTTAACCTTATCTCATCCACTCCACACTTCTTGTCTTTTATTTCTTTAATTAAAAGCACTTCTCCATTGCTTAAATAGAATTAAGGGTTTGTAAATCTGAACAGCTAAGATACATAAGTGCTAACAAAAAGAGAACACGGAATTTCGACTGCACAAGTTTTAATAACTCAGGAAGTTAAACTCGATTTAATGAGATTTCAATGCTTTAGTCTTGAGTTTGTAACGAAGCAAACAATTGTGCCTATTCACTTCATCGCCCTAACCAAACTATCAACCATATTTGTTTTGATGTTTCTAACGTGAATTAATATTTAGATAATAGATCCTACTATATCAAGAGTACAAAAAATTACGAAGTTTTGAGTTTTAACTCAAAATTTAACAAATTTGAAGTTTACATAGTTATCTTTTCAGTGTTAATTAAAAACGAATATAGATGTGTATCAAAAACAAATTCGATATTTAAAAAATAGAGGCAACCCTCTATATATTAATAATTTCGAGTTTATAATATTATTTTCTATAAATTTATAATGCTATTAATAGTATTGGTAAATCAATATTAGGATTACAAACATTTAATAATTTATCAAATTCTTAATTTATAGACTAGTTAGATGTTCATTTTTAAGACCTTTTATATCGGAATTTGACCCCCCAGGTTTCCTCTTATTGAATTTTGTGAGATTTTTAATCATTCTTTCTATTTTATTATTATTGAAAGAAATGATACCTTATGGAGGTGATAGAGTTGTATAAAAAAGTATAGATAAAACAAAATATGTTGTGCTTAAGAGTTTTTACTTTCCACAATCGTTTTTTTTCCTTCTTCCTCTACCTATCAACCTTTATAGCACAAACGCACACCCACTAATAAACCAAATGGCTTGACTGAAGAAGGGAAAACAATTTGTGTATAGTTACCTATCACTCTCTTCAATCTAATGTTTCCTTCTCTAGACACCAATGGCTATGACCTCTTTGATCCCTTTATTCCCCATCAAACATCCATGCTTCCTTCTTTCACTACTCACACCCAACGCCCTAATTTTCACCACCACCACCCTTTGCCTTATTTTCCTTTCCCTTCAGATTTTCTTGATGAAACTGTCTTGATAAGCCAGTTCTTGTTACAACAGCAAGATTCAGCAACAAATGTTGTTGAATCTTCAAGAAAAGTTAGCAAGAAGCTTGAGCAAAAGAATAAGAATGAGAATTGCGTTGATGGATCCACCTCAGGAAAGATTCCACGGAGAGGAACGGGCAAGAAAAGGGACAGGCATAGTAAGATCTGCACCGCTCAAGGTCCTAGAGACCGGAGGATGAGGCTGTCTCTTCAGATTGCTCGCAAGTTCTTCGATCTTCAAGACATGTTGGGTTTCGACAAGGCGAGCAAGACTATCGAATGGCTTATCTCCAAATCGAAGGCCTCCATTAAACAAGTTAAAGAAAGTGTAGCTGCATCAGGAGGAGAAGAAGGAGGAGAGTTTGTACATCTCCAGGTTGGTGAAAAGGCAAAGGATGAGACTTTGAAAGTCTCAAAGAGAACAAAGATGGTAGAGAGCTCTTGTAAGAAGAAAGAGTCGAGAGAGAAAGCTAGAGAACGAGCAAGAGAGAGAACAATGACGAAGATGAAAATGAAATTATCAGGACTAATTGATTCCTCCAAAACATTCTCAGATCCTGATCAAGAAACAAGAAAGATCAAAATAATCGGTGGTGCACAAGTACTAGAAGGGGAAAGTCAAGAACAAGAATGGACTAATCATGTGAACATGGTAGAGTATCAAATGGATTCTGTGAGCATCATAGAGAAATTTCTTGGACTAACCAGTGATTCTAGCTCCTCTTCCATTTTCCGAGATTCCGAGGAATCTTACGCAAATCTTAGCTCAACAAGAGGTGCTACTTCAACAGCAGGTAACAACAATGTGTTAATTAAAAACCCTAATTAACGCAGTCCTGATTAATGTTGGCTCTCTGCTAATTCCAGGAATAATGACACCAGAGGAAAACACAACAACTTCAACAGCATCAGTAGATGAGGAGAGAAACCCTATTTCATCCTTTTCACTATACGATTATCTCTGCTACTAATGATCACGAGGCTCCATTCTTCTGAGGTATTTGGAGTTTCTCTATGCATCAACATAAGAGCCATGAGACAAACCTTTCGCATATTTACCTAAGTGTAGACATTTGTGTGTGTGGGTTTGGTCTGCTAATCTGTTTGAGGCTTTGTACTGCACGCTTGATTGATGGATAGATATAAATTATAATTTTGTGGTTTCAAATAATTAACTATTAAGCAAGTTTCTTCTCAGGCGTTGGTTTTATTAATTGGTGGTTTGCTTCTGTTGTTGGTTGTCTTTCTATAAATGTTGGTATAGGAAATTTGAAAGCTTATGTCACAAGAACACAATAAAACATAGCAAACTTATAACCTATAAGATTCTTATGATTTAGTGTTTTTATTGGTGGGCACAAACCGTTAAACTTAAGTAAAAAAGCTTTAGTTACCACATTCCAAAATGTGTAAAACAATAATGTGGATGTTAGACTTTTGATGTACTTTGTGACATTTCAATTAACTGGTTTTCTTAAAAACACCAAGGGAGTATTCAAAAGCCAGTCGACATCTTTGGCTAATTTTCGTATCTGTATACATCTATAGATGACATGTTTCTATATATTATTTTCTTATTTGTTATTGTTCTAGGACTGAATTGAGAAAATTGTGACCGTTCCTACCTCAAAATCATGTCATCTAGATAGATAAATAATGTCCATTTTCTCCTAAACTCTCAAAACTTTTTGATTTAGGCATCATACATCGTGGTTGATTTTTCTATAAGCGTTTATATATATCTAGACACTAGAAGCCGCTTGCAGACTTGACGCCACTCGTTTGAGTTGGATTACGCGGAAAAAACGAATACTTAATTTAGACGGATTAGACATTAATAAATAATTATTTGAAATTCCCTCTATATATACATATGTTCTTTCAACTTTCCATTTGTCTAGCACTGAATTTAGGAAATGTTTTCCTATAAACTCAAACAGTTATCTTTTCTAAATTACAACCAGTCCAACTTCCATCACGTCAGTTTTTTTTTTCGCGAACTCTCGGGCATTGATTTCTTCTACTTTCTTGAGTTTCGGTGCATAATTATTCTCGAATTTACACTATGTTATCTCTAAGAAAATAATACTTCTTCTTAATTTTGTGATTTCTAGTAATCTTAACAATTATCGATTATAACTTATATTTTGTGTGTTTTTGGAATATTATTTCTTATTACAATTTGAGTTATATAGTACATTTATGAAGTTGAGCGCTGTAGGTGTTAAAAGTAGGATCATTGCAGATTCGTAATGACCCCATTTCCACTAATGCTTTCTCTCCTCTTGAAGATTTGTATTAGGAATTTTGGTTGTAGGTGAAACTTTTATGATAATGACGATTTTTGTTGGAAAATATGTAGCTAATCAGTTGATCTATATGTATATCCACAAGCATGTCCCGTGTTTCATATAAACATGTAAGAACTTAGTTATACCATATCAACATGAGCAGCTCAATATTACAATATATCTGTATGGAAAATGTGGATTACCTTTAAGCATCAATTATAAGCTTTGTTTTTCTGTGAGATTAAACCATGATGAGTTCCATGAACTGCAAATGTAACAACAACAAAAAGGGGGTCTACTTATTTTCTCACTTAATTTGCTGAAGTCACTCTACTTCATAACAGTTTCTTCCTTTGGATGTCTCTAACTTCCTAACAATAAGAAATCTAGTCGAAGCATATGTTTAACTAATTTTTTTTACTTCCTAACAATAAGAAATGTAGTCGACTGCTAGTCTGCTACGGAAAGCTACATGCCCTAGCGCTAGCGAAACTAATGTATACCATATGGGCCTTAGGCCCATGAAAGACATCAAGTTTTCTTTTAAATAATGGGTTTACTAAACACCCATACCAAACAAACACTGCAAGAACTGTGTATATAATTAAACTGAAACAAACTAAACCAAACTTTAAATCGATCTGAACCAAACCAAACTTTTAAACGGAATCTGAAACAACATTTTCAATAAACCATTTGGTTTAGTTTATTTATTTTAACGTTGTTTCCTTTTCTTGTGAAATCGCTCTTGCTGATAAGAATTAAACAACTCATTTACAGTTTTCAACAATATATTATTGTACATTTAACAACAGGAAAAAATTACACGTAGAGTTCGTACTTATCGATCGTAAAAATTTGCATACATCTACCCTCCTTTAAACCATAAATTAAGAAAACATTTGTTTTTTTTTTTCTTTTTGAACTTTATTTAGAAAACATATGTTTCAGGTTATTTACTTACTTAGAAGTTTAAACATTCAAAGAGAAAAACAGAAGATGATGCACTTTCCTCAGATCTAGCTACGAGAAACAGAGGAGAATAATTACCTGCAAATGTAGTAGCCTCCTTGCTTTTCCTTTCTCTGAGGACCACCTGGCCTTGATCATTAGTGTGTATCCATAACTATGCATACCATATATTATTTAGAGTGTTGCATAAAAGCAGAGTAGGAAAATAATTAAGATCTGACAAGAGTGAAGCCTTTTCAAAACAAAATATTGAGCAGAAGTGATCAAAATAGATAAACACAAAGGTATGTTAAAGGCTACAAACCTCACTCTCTCCTTTATAAGCCTTTTGAAAAATATGGAGCAGAAGAAAGGAAATGAAGAAAGACATAAAAGTAAAAGTCTAGGAGTTCAATAAATATGGAATTTGAGTAACTGTGTCTTAGACACCGACCGTTTTCATCCGGTGTTGTGTAGGACTGTCCAACAAGGACGAATCCGATTTGATCATTTTATAAATTAACAAAAGGACGAAGCTAGGTCCAATCAGATTTTGGATCAGTCATTGGATTTTTTTTTTTAATATATATACATGGGTTCATGATACGAAACTTGGCATAAATTGCATAATATGTCTGTGATATGTGGAAGGATTGGGTATTATTGCAATTTGTTTTACAAAACTTATAATATTGCAAACTATTTTTAACAACCGACATTGTAGTTAGGTGGTTTCACCTTTTTTGTTGTCTTGGGAGATTGAAACGTACACTTATATGTGACTATAAGGATTTCATTTTTTCTTCTTCTTGTATATACAGAGTTTCATTCATAATTAGTCTGATATTTGTTATTTCCAACAACAACAAAAATTAATACAAAAAAAAATAGCTAGTGATATATTGTTTGCTGGATAAACTTGACAAGAATTTATAGTTTCAACTGGTGGGCTTTGTTAAAGTTTTGAGAGAACAAGATTTGGTTTTTGTCTGTTATATTTCTTAAATCGGCAATAAAGTAACTAAAGAAGTAGAGAACAGACCAGGAAAGCCACTGTTTATTTATTTATTTTATTTGTTTGGAAATTATGAATTGGGAAAATGGGATATGGATGTCGAGAAGTAGATCTTTTGGCAAAATGTAGCTGCTTCTAAATCTTCATAGACACATAGACTTACACTGCAGTTTGTACGGAGCTTTGTAATTTTAATGGTCCAAAACTCTTACATCACACACATATTGATATAATATATCAATATGATGAATCTCCACGTAAAACAATAATTCAATATCAACTGTTTGAATCTCTTACCAATATTTACGGTTTCATAATAACTTTACGCTTTTTATCCTTATTGTTTGTTTTAGATTTTCATAATTATGTATTCATTTTTATTTTATGATTTAAGATAGTTTTTTGTCCTCAGTCATTTAATTGATTTAAACTCAAGAATCTTGTATAATCAACCAGTTTAGGTTTGGTGTTTGATAAATCTCATATAAATAAAATTTTGAGCGCCGTACACACTTTCGTCAAGTGGCATATGTCACTTTGGCCATGTAGTGGCATCATAGGTTCGACCCCTCCTACTCGAGGGTTAAAATGTCGACCATGTAGGTCCAGTAAAACAAAATGAAAAAATTTCTTACTTTTAATTTTAATTTCCTAACATTTTTTGTTGTTTGCAATATATAATCATATATTATTTTTTCTTCCTCTAATCCACACGTATATATATATACAGGTCCGGCCTTGAGCTCAAGCAGACCAAATACATGCTTGCGATCCCTTTTGTTATAAAGAATTTCGGCCCTAAATTTCTAAAAATATGTTTTTAGTTTGGTGGTAAATGTTAATGTTTTCATAGATAGCAACTCAGATTTGATACTTCAAAATGCAAATCTTTTTTTTTTTGTTTTTTTAATGTTTTTTTTAATAAACCAAAATGACCCAGTTTACGGTCTTACTAAAAATCAGAGCCGGCTCTATATATATATATGTATATATATTGTCTAGAATTTCAATGTTAGTGTTTCTTTTTCTATGTATACATGTTTTAGAAAACAGTAGTTACTTTGACCATTTTATCAAGCATGAAGATAATTTTTTTTTTTTTATAAAAAGGGCTAAGCATGAAGATAGTTTCTTGTATATTGTTTGGATTTGACTATATATTTCTTACATATTGTTTGCATTTCATTTAGAGATCTGCGATACTGCACACTTCTCAAATATAAGAAAAGATTTGGATGTTCCTTTTTTTTTACTAGTGCAATCATACTTCGAGCACTCAACACTATAGTGCAAGAGAAAATATAAACAGTTAAAAAGGCTGGTTTGGAATTGCACATTGCCCACCAGTTATACAATCCACTCAATAACCTCTTTCGTGCATTGGAAGACCTTTTATCAAATTTACAATCTCATCATATTTTCTTCTTCACTATGAGTTATACACAATTTGTTTATTTTTTTAAAAAAGAAAATCCAAATAACTTTCTTAAACATATACCGCCTTATTTAAAAAATATATATATTATCTGTTTTTTTATTAAATTTTAAAAATCATTATGATCATATATCTATCTATTTTTTTTCTCCATCTCAACATAATTAAGACAAATTCATTTAGAATAAAAACTCCATATAATCGGTGATTTTATATTAAAAAAATATCATACATTATGTGCGATAAGAAAAAAATTCTAAGACCTTCAATATATGAAAGTCAAACGGTGATGACAGAAACAAACATCGAAAAAAAATAATAAAGAAAGTCATATATGGAACGTGGTTTCATTAGAAGTCCACGACGCAATATCTAATTTTCCCAGAGCACATGTTAAGTTAAAGGATCGCTACTTACTAGTTCATTAATTAGTCTGTTCACACGTCGAAAATAATCTATAAATACACTTTGAATGATTGCAATAGTCTCCTGCAAATATAATACCATCGATTGCACTACTTCGTAATCAAAGATTTCATTTATTTCGAAGATTTTCTTATTTCATTCGCAATTCCAGAGATTTTTTTCATAATTGCTAAGTTGCAATCATGCCCCTTTTCTCATTCCTTGAATTCTAAGAAACCCTGATGCATTAGTTTTATTTTCTTTACGCGGTAATACCCCATAATTATGGATTTACTTTTGTAAATCAATAATTGATCAATGTAGATTTTCTTTATGTACGTATTATTACGATGAAGATAATATTCCCTCTCACGATGATGATGTTTAAGTTTTTTTTGAAGTTTTCATTGACTTGATAATTTTTGTTGGTTATTGTGTTCTCAAAGATCGTCTTAATATTTTGATTAAGTCATTCTACTGTATTATGTTTGAATTTGGTGGGTGGCACAACAACGATAAAGCACTAGACAATACGTCTGGTCTTTGTTAAAGACTTTTTTTCTTTTAAACATTTGTATTACATGTGAATATAATATTTGAACATATAAATACAAGCACAAGTTGCCTTTAAAACAATCAAAATATATAATTCTAAATTTTCAAAGGTCAAGAAATAATGTTATTATGCCCCCAAAATAAAAAATAAAACTTTTATTTTTGTTAACGATATCTTACTAATATTTAAACTGTAAAAAATATGTATTCTATGCATGGTACATAGATCTCGTGAATGACAGAAAAACAAATCCGTTCTTAGAATTATCAATATATAGATATAACAGAAATAAAAACACGGATTACCACAAAAGCTAACATAGATCGGTCACTGGATATGCCTCAAACTTTTAATAAACACAAAAATTGGCTACTACTTTTATGAAGATAGCTAGAGCACACACATGATAAAGCATCCTGCGTTAAAAAGACAAAATCCCACTCCCACACATCTCTTAAACTTTACACTTTGTCAACTATATAACATATATAAATGTAGATGAGCTCTTAACATATTGTCTTCCAAACCGTCCAACAAAACTTTGTTTTGTTTTTTTCCAAATACATACACAAACATAAAAACGATATCTCTTTGGCATTTTCTTATTGATTAAATAGTTTTTTTGGCCATTTCTTTTTGTTTTTTGTTTAACATAAAAGCTTTCTTTGGCCATTTCTTATGCTTAAATTTCTTTCATCGTCTTCTACTTCCTATCATCTTCCATGGCCTTGAAATTCTCTCAAATTCTTTTCATATTTCTATGGCTCTCTCTCTTCTTCCTCCTCCTCCACCACTTGTACTCCTTCAACATCCACCGTCTCTACTCTCTAAATATGGAGGAACCGTCGACGAAGAAGCACCAAGACCACCACCGTCTCTACACCATTAGATTAGTCAGCAGAAAAGCTCTCTCCCACAGATTCGACTTCACGCCTTTCCAAAGCCGAGAGAACAACCACCATCACCGTCATTCCGGCAAGAAACACGGCGGCGATGAGATTGATCCTCGTTATGGAGTGGAGAAACGCCGTGTTCCCTCCGGACCCAATCCGTTGCACCATCGATGAGTGACAATGACACGTGCTTGATTTGAGTGGTAACGTTTAAGACAAAGATCAGACTTCACCTAGCTTTTTTTTTGTCTCAAAGGGGGAAATTAAAGATTAGAGTTTTTGTTTTCTTAAATACGCTTTTACAATTTGGATGTTGATACATTTTTTTTGTTTTGCTATCATCTTAAACAAGGATACTATAGCTTTTATTTGACGATTATATCGGTAAATATGTTCATTAACCATTTATATTTTTGATGGTTTGCTTTGACATCTTGCTTGTTGTGGTTGATTAAAAACAATACGTAATTGTTTTTTGGTTTGTTTTGTTTTGTTACCTTATGGTGACTGTTATATACCGTATATTGAATTATTACTTAAATATTAAAATGAACAAATTGTTCGTTGATTACAATGATGAATCTTTAAATAATTGCTTTGACTTTGGGATTAGCCAACCAGTAGCTGCGACGGCACGTCACAATTCAGAGATATTCGAGATGCGTATTATTATACCAAATATAAAATAATCAATGGTGTAAGATAAAACAAGATAAATAAAACAAAATATTAAGGAAGTAGTTTTTGTTTCTGTGTCTGTCTCATACGACCGAAGTTTAGACCAAGTTTTATAATTTCTTTTATAGCTCATCAGTATAATTTCCTTTTTCACAATTACATGTAGTACGCACACAATTTATGTAGATCGTCAATTCTCAGTTTTAAAAAAAAAGTTTTCATGCAGTAAGACTAACTGAACATTTATAAACCAGGATCACATAAACTTAGCCGAATATTTGAAGAAAAGTTTTTTGGTAAAGAGAATAGGTTTAAAACGTTAAATATATATTTATTTGGTGAGTCTGAACATGACTTTGGCTCGTATAATGTGTCTTGCTGTCTTTTCGATAAGAATAAGGAAATTGTCATTTTACAAAAGCTTCACTCTCTCTCAATCTCAGGGAGTGTCGACTTTTCTCTATTTGGTTTCTTTCTACATCAACTATTTTCTTTTTCTTTTTTCGTTTTTAATATTTATATTACATAACTGCAGTTGACAAATTGTTCTTACATGAATACAAAAAGGGACAAGAATCCACTGCAAAAGATGGTAAACAATCGATTTCTCAAACTTTTATAACATTTTTCATAATACTCCTTTGTTATCAGACAAATGGAAAAATTTGCCCACTTGCCCTACTCCTTTTAAGGGGCCTCAAAAGCAAACTTGGGCCAAATTTTAAATAATTTAAATGAAAAATAAAAAAAGCCCAATAGAAAATTTGAGGTGCTATCGCTACTTGCAAGTGGAAGCACCGAAGAGTCAGAGTTGGGAGGTGACCACCGATTACAGAGTAGTTTGGAGCGGAGGAGAACTCTTCTGTAAAGGTTTGTTAACTGCTTACGCGACGGCGCGTGAAACATTCCTCGGTGACACGCATCTTTCTCGCGTGTGCTGATCCAATAATAAGCGTTCAAAATTAGTTTTCTGGGTTATGTTGTGCGGTTTGCTTCTTCGATTCGTCGATTCGCGTGCAAATTTTCTCGATTTAAGCACTCCGTCTAAGGCAAAGTGTCGAATTTGGGGCAGTTTATGCATTTAGGTCTCTAGGGTTCGACGAAAATATTCACTCCACAGAGAAAGCCGTTTCCGGCAACCGACCGAAAGGGAAAGGCTGTGGCTTTGGCCGACAAATTCACGACGCTTTCTCCTCCAAAGGGTCTCTGCCGCGAGGACGATGACCGATTCGGAGCCGCCTCGAGTTACGCGGTGGATGATTGGAGGATGTTCAAAGAGGCTGGTTTGCTCGATGAGGCCTCCTTAGAAAGGAAAGACTGTGAAGCGCTTTTGGAGAAGAACCTGAAGCTTGAAAAAGAGGTGAAACAAAGTTCCGATTCGCACTACTTTTGGAAATTGCTAATTAGATAACCTGTAGCTTTACCAAATGAAGCACATATCAGTTACTGATTCGGTTAGTTGAAAACGAAATTATATATGAATCTCTTTGTGTTGAGTTAGATAAATTGTTCCATTGTGGCAGCTGTTTGATTACCAACATAGTATGGGGATTCTGCTTATAGAGAAGAAGAAGTGGACTTCGACGAATGAAGAACTTCAGCAAGCTTTTGATGAAGCCAACGAGATTCTCAAACGTGAAAGGACTTCAAATCTAATCGCTTTAAACGAAGCTGAGAAAAGAGAAGAGAATCTTAGGAAAGCTTTGATCTCCGAGAAGCAATTTGCAGCTGAGGTACCTCATTTTCTTTTCTTGCTGCTTTTTTTTTGGCCTTCTTTGTGTTTGATGTTTTATTAGAGAGTTATATCTTCTGTTCTTATTTTTTTCAGCTTGAGAGGGATTTGAAATATTTACAACAAGAGCATTCTGAGGTGAAGTCTACTTGTGAGGCAAAGTTAGCTGAAGCAAACGCTTTGGTTATTGGTGTCAAGGAAAGTTCTTTAGAGGTGGATAGAAAGAGGGCCATTGCTGAAGAAAAGCTTTCAGTGATTAGTAGAAAGAGTTCTGAGTTGGAAAGGAAACTAAAGGATGTGGAGACCCGTGAAAAAGTGCTCCAAAGAGAGCATCTTTCTCTTGTTACAGAGTATGAAAGATCACTTTTTTTTTTTTTTTTTTACTTTTCGGTTCTGTTACTTGTTTTGTTGTTATGGATATTTGAGCTCACGTTTTATCTTTTGCTTGCGTTTTTTGTAGACGAGAAGCACATGAGGCAGTGTTCTACAAGCAGAGAGAAGACCTACAGGAGTGGGAGAAGAAGCTGACGCTCAAAGAAGATAAGTTGTCTGAAGCTAAAAGAAGCTATAACCATATAGAAGAAAGAGCTATTGAAAGTGAAAAAATTATCAAGAAGAAAGAGAAGATCCTGGAAGAGATGCATAAAAATATTGATATTGCCAAGTCAGAATTAAAGGAGAGAGAAGAATCTATAAACATTAAGCTAAATGGCATTTCTATGAAGGAAAAGGTGAGTTTTTTTAGCTGCCATTTTGTTGCCCATTCATGTACCGTTTGGTTTATATATCAGTTGGTTGTTGTTGTTTAGGACTTCGAAGCCATGAAAGCTAAGATTGATATGAAGGAGAAGGAGCTCCAGGAGCTTGAGGAGAAGCTTATTGTGAGAGAGCAGGTCAGCCTCTACTTGCCTGAAACTTTCTTCTACTTCTTAAAAATATCTAGTCTTTTCTTTCTTGGTCATTGTAATGGTTGTATTTGGTTTAAGTTAGTGAATCTTCAAGAAAGGGATATAATGGAAAAGGAAGATGTGCTTTTGCGTTTTGACATTGTATTACACAGATATAGTATACCCACCCACCTCTATTAACCCCATGAATTTTATTGTCATTTATAGTGAGGCATATACTCCTTCACAATCACTAGTCCGTAGTCTTTTCGTTGTAAAATGTCATCTTCCTCTAATCAACAACATCAGAGTTTGTATACGGAGGTTGGGTTGATGTAACTAAGAGAAACATTTTAAAACTATGGTGAAATTCCTTGGGAAGACCATGTCAATGCTACTGAAATTATTAACTGACTGGAACAATTTATATGTTTTATAAAGTCACTTTTACAATAGATTTTTTTTATTTGTTTTCAATATGCCAAGAGCCAAAATATTTATACTTCATATAAATTTAACAGATGGAAGTAGGGAAGCTCTTGGATGATCAGAAGGCTGTTCTAGATTCCAGATTGCAGGAGTTTGAAATGGAGGTTGAACAGGTGAGGATATCCCTTGATGAAGAACTTGAGGGAAAGAAAAGTGAAGTTGAGCAGCTGCAAATTGAGATCAGCCACAAAGGAGAGGAATTGGCGAAGAAAGAGGCAGCTTTGGAAAAAATGGAGGAGAGAGTGAAGGAGAAAGACAAGGATCTTCAAGCAAGGCTGGAAGCAGTGAAGGAGAAAGAAAAAGCTCTAAAAGCTGAAGAGAAAAAGCTGCATATGGAAAATGAACGATTGCTCGAAGATAAGGAAAGTCTGCGTAAACTAAAAGATGAGATTGAAGAGATCGGGGCTAAGACAACAAAGCAGGAGTCAAGAATTCGTGAAGAACATGAAAGTCTCAGGATTACAAAAGAAGAGAGACTCGAGTTTCTGAGGCTGCAGTCTGAACTGAAGCAGCAGATAGATATAGTTAAGCAAGAGAAGGAGTTGCTCTTGAAGGAACGTGAAGAACTGAAACAAGATAAGGGAAGATTTGAGAAAGAGTGGGAAGCATTGGATGAGAAGAAGGCTGACATAAGTAGAGAGCAAAGGGAAGTTACTGAAGAAAAGGAGAAACTGAGAAGTTTGCAAATATCAGAAAAGCTTAGGGTGAAGAGAGAAGAGATGACCTCAAGGGATGATTTGAAAAGGGAGTTGGATGATGTCAAAACGCAGAAAGAATCATTTGAAGCCAACATGGAGATAAAAAAACTAGCCGTGCATGAAAACTCCAAAAATGAGACCGAAGATCTTGAGAAGCAAAGAAGGAATCTTGACATGGAATTGCAGATGCAAGAAGAAGAGGGTGAAAAAGATTTAAATGAAAGGGCGAGAACATATGAGATGAGCCAAAAAGAGCTTGATGTCAACATTACTTACGTAAAGAAGCTGGCTGAGAGAAGGATGAAAGAAAGGCAATACGAGAAGCTTGCTCTGCAGAAGGAAAGAGAAAACTTGCATGTCGAAAAGAAGAAGTTGCACGAGGAATATGTTGATTTTTATAAGGACGTCGATGATATAGATGCGGCTAGAATCACGTTGGAGAAACAACGAGAAGAATTATGCAATGCAAAGGATCGGCTCTAAGTATTTCTGAGAGAAACTAATATCTGCGATATCTGTAAAGTAAAATTCAGAAAGTTTGTTTACCCTGATCGAGTACCTGATGTTGAAGAGGAGGACGAGCTTTCCGAAAATAGCAGGAGTACATCTTGGATTGGGATACTCGCTTCCGCTAACCTTCCAGAATCTTCGCGACCTGATGATTCTCTGAACACAGCGGCAGGCAATGATCATGAACCATCTGCTACTGAGCAGAGTTTCACAGGAAGTAAAATAAAAGGAGGCACTGAAGTTACCCTGCAATCAGAGATAAAGAGCGATGTACCTAAACGTGGTAGAGGCAAGGGTAAGTCTGTTAGAGGAAGGTCGCAAGCAACAAAAGCTGCGTCGAGAGATTCAAAACAATCTGACGCTGAAGTTCCAAGGAAGTGACGACGCGAGCAGGTGTCTAGAATCACAGAAAGTGAACACACAGCTGGTGATGGCGATGAGGATGTAGACAGTATCACAACTGGTGGACGTAGGAAGAAGAGACAGACAGCTATTCCAGTCTCTCAGACACCTGTGAAAAGCCAATATTTTCTGAGGAGACATACAAAGTAAGCTCCTGCTTGTTTTTGATTGGAAGAATCTGGAAATTCTGTACGTGTGAAACTTATATTTTTTATGGAAAATCCTTTTTCAGTGTAGGAACAGAAGAAGATAAAGCACAAACATCAACAGATGCCATGGAAAAGCAAGAGAGTGTCAATGGTGATATCAGAGCAGTGTCAAATCCGAAGGATAATCTTACTCCACCACAAGGTGAGATCAGGGATAATGGAAAAGCTGAGATATTAGAGGAGGCGGTAACACATGAAGAGATTGTTGAGGTATAGTTTTTCTGAAACATCGAATAAGATCATCCCCATTACTTTACTTTTGTTTCCAGCATGTGCAGATGTTATTTATTTCTGTCTGAGAGGAACATGTGGGAATGTTAATCTTACGAAGCCATGGTTTCTTATACAGGTTGAAGCAGAGATTGAGTTCAAAAGTAACAATACGGGAAAGAGGCCACTCAAAGATCTACAGTTAGAAGCAGGAGGCATTGGTGAAATAAAAGAGCTTGGTGAAAAGGATGATGGGAACTTCAGCACGATCCAAGAGGAGAACGAAGAAGAAGAAGAAGATGAAACAGAGCGTCCAGGTGAAGCTTCCATAGGATAGAAGATTTGGGTCTTTTTCACAACCTAATCATTTTCTCATTCTCTCTCTCTAAAAGACAAAACTATGCCACAAGTAGGATTTTCCAGAGGAGATGAAAAAATCTTTGTAATGTGTTGGTTATTTTTAGACTTTTAACTTTCTTTTCTAAGCAATTGAAACAAAAGGAAGTGAAATCTTGGAAGCTATGGACATAGTAGGATAATGCAAAATTTGATTCTAACATGCTTCTCCTTGGTAATGGTGCTGGTGTTCAAGGAAACCAAACAAGATTCAGAGGTAACAAACAAAGTTACACAAGTCATTGTCATGGATCTGACATCTCTTTTTTGGTTATGTTTGCCTGAAAATCACCAAACAAAAATAAAGTAAATCCAAAACACAAACTGGTAAAAAAGAAGAAAAGGACTAGACGGCTTATATGTAGGATCTTACCAAGATTTCGCTATTTAGTGGATAGATTTATAGTGAGTAGATAGTAGATATGCCTCACCTTTCAATGTTAAAGACAAAAGATTGTGGTCCAAATGAAACAAGGCCATGCAAGAGCATCTCTCACTCTTCATTAGGCTCTCTTAAAAAAATATCTCCATTAGTTCTCAATTGCAAAGTTCTATAACATTGCATTAGCCATGAATCCATTCTCTTAATGTTCTTATTTGACTAAATTTAAACTTAACTAAACAATATTCATCAGTTCCAACTTCCAACTACCAAATAAGCTTCTTCCTTTTGAGTTACATAAGTTTTAATGGGTTTGTTAATTCTTTTTCAAGAAATGTAATAACTGTTTTTCAAAGAAAAGGACACTTGAGGAAGTTTTTTTCAGAAACCTATAAAGAAAAAGATTATAACATAAAATAAAAATTTGCAGCCTGCAGAAATAACAGAGACCTCTTATAAAAAGACTGGATCTTCTCTGCCTTTCCCTTTCACTGGACCTTCTCTCTTCTTATCATTTTCATTACAATTATTGTTTCTTCTCTTTTTCTCTGCTTTTTTTTATAACTGTGTCTTGCTTTTAAAGATTTTGTTTTATCAATCTTAATTGCTAATGCTTAGTCGTTGTCTAAACCTCTGGCTATAACTTTATAACTTACTCCGATTTGCTGCTCATATTCTATGAATTAAGGCAACCATAAAACTTGCTATGAACATGTCAAAAAATTGCAACTTTACAAGAATCGTATCATTTTCTTTGAGTCTTTGTCACATACTGTATTTAGTTATTTTGGATTTAACCCAACATTTCAGTTTTGTCATATTGTAGTCTAGTAAGGTGCTTATATATTGTGTGTCAGTGTGTGTATATACACACCACACAACTGTGCTATATGTAATCATAAGTTAGAGAAACAGATTTGGCGTTTCCTCTCTTGTTCTTTCTTTGGGTCTTCTTCTTGGCCTTTCCTCTATAATAAACCCTAAAGAGAAACAAAGATAGAAACACAGAGAAACCTCTTAAACTTTCTTCTTTTTCTCATGACATTTCTTGTCTCAAACTAATCTCTCTAGGAGAACAAAGACTTTAAAAGGGTTGTTTTCTTGAGCAAATCTTGTATACAAATCAAGCAACATTCATGGTTTCAAAAGGGTCCCATAACACATTGTGGTGATAGCTTTGTTTTCATCTTCTATCATTTGCTTCAAGCACCCACCAAAATTCTCGATTCACTTTGGTTTTTTTTTTCCATTTTAACTTTCTTTTGATAGAAACAGATGTTACAAGTGGAATAATTCCAATACAGATACCATCCACAAAACACTTTTTTTCTTTCCTCCTCTTCTCTTGTATCCTCTCACTATAGCCTCAATGAAGATGCTTAGATTCACAAAGAAGCAACATTTGGTGTTTTTACTATGTGTGTGGTGTTTGGTTGTGGATTGGAGCAAGGCAGAAACAGAGCAAAGTGAAGGAGGTCCCATGGAGAAAACAGAGCAAGATGCTCTCTACTCTACCATTCAAGGCTTTGTTGGTGACTCTTGGAATGGCTCTTACCTTTTTCCTGACCCTTGTGGTTGGACTCCGATCCAGGTCCTTTCTCTCATCATTCTTCTTTGATATAAGATGTATAAGCTTATCAAGATTCTGATTTTTGAATTAGGAAAAAAAACCAATCAAAACTGTTGAATAGTTGAATTCACTTTTCTTTTCAAGCCTACCTGATGCAGTCTCAAGCCAGAAGCTAGGAAAAATGAGATATCTTTACTCACTTTTATTAGCAATTAGTAATCAAAATTCTTATGTTCCATTTTGGTTTGCATATTCTCAACTTCATGAAACTATACACAATTATTAATGAGTAATTTCAGTGTCAGAGAACAGAGTCAGTTCCTTGTTGGTGTTAGATAACATTTGAATGTATTTTTTTTCTCTCTCAAGAAATTTCTAACCCTTTGTTGTTTAAAATCTGCAGGGTGTGACTTGTGATGTGTATGATAATCGTTGGTATGTGACTGCTTTAAGCTTTGGGACTTTTCGAGACAACTCACTTGCTTGTGCTGAGATTCCAATTATCAGACCACAACTCTTTGAGCTCAAGCACCTCAAGTCTCTCTCTCTATTCAACTGCTTCACATCACCAAACAAATACCTATCTTCAGTTTCAGATGAGAAGTGGCTGGATCTCTCTAAGAACTTGGAGACGCTTGAGATCAGATCAAACCCGGGACTGATCGGTGAACTCCCTTCTTTCATCACTAACCTCACAAATCTCCAGTCTCTTGTGGTGCTAGAAAACCGGTTAACAGGTTCAGTGCCAGAGGATTTAGCCAAGTTAACCAGACTGAGACGCTTAGTACTGTCTGGAAACCAGTTCACAGGGAGAATACCGGAGGTCTACGGTTTAACCGGATTATTGATACTGGATCTAAGCAGGAACTCCTTCTCTGGATCGTTGCCTTTAAGCGTTGGAGGATTGAATTCACTGCTGAAACTCGATGTTAGTAACAATAACTTGGAAGGAAAGTTACCTAAAGAGCTACAGTCCTTGAAGAATCTGACCCTTTTGGACCTTAGGAACAACAGATTCTCAGGTGGATTGACTAAAGAGATCCAAGAGATGAGCTCTTTGGTAGAACTAGTTTTGTCCAATAACCATCTCGGCGAGGACTTAACAGGAATAGAGTGGAGAAATCTCAAGAACTTGGTGGTTTTGGATCTCTCCAGCACAGGGCTAAAAGGGGAGATTCCTTGGTCAATCTTGGAGCTCAAGAAACTGAGGTTCTTGGGTCTGAGCAACAACAATCTCAGAGGCAAACTCATTCGGGAAATGGAAACAGAGATGCCTTGTCTCAACGCGCTCTACGTAAACGGAAATAACATCAGTGGAGAGCTGGAGTTCTCTAGAATGTTCTACGAGAGGATGGGAAGAAGACTCGGTGTTTGGGGAAACCCTAACCTGTGTTATCATGGAGATGAAATCAAGAATCTTCGTGATCATGTTCCTTTTGGTGTGAACCAATGCAAGAAGAGAAATAAGGCAGTGACTTTGGCTTAAAGAGAGAGATATCAAAACCCTCGTTTTTGACTTAAAGGGTTTTGGTGTGGCGAATAAACTACTTGGAACTTTGAAAAGTTATGAAGCTATGGTATTTTTAACTATGCATTTATCCAACTTTTTTTTTTTTTTTTGGTATGAATGTTAAGAGCATTTATCCAACTTTACAGCCAATATATATATCGTGTTTGATTCTATTTCTATTTTTGTTACTAGTAGTGGTGCGTGCCTTCCATTATCAAACACATATAATGGGTATAAGTAAAAAGAAAGAAACTTACTGCAGAAAATCAGTTTTTGGTACTTCTGCAGCCACCAAAGAGAAAGCTACAAAACTGATCAGATTAATGTTATCTTTAACAATAAAAGCATTCAAACAATCATTTAGTTTTGAGCATTCTAAATAAATTAGAAAGATGTTATTACAGCAAACTTAAGTAGAAGTGTATGACTTTTTGCAACATGTCTAAACGTGGGAGGTATGTTTGAACTTTATTTTGTTTTTGGCATTTTGTAAAAATACAGAAAAAGTCTATTTGAAAGAAGAAGAAAAAGGTAGATGAAGAAACCAGGTGGATATCCAAATCAAAAATTGGTAAATGAATAAAATATGTGAATATGAAAGCCATTTGTCAAGCTGTCAAATTTAGTGTATAAATTAGCGAGTCAACTCTCCAAACTACTTTTTTCCTCTTAATTTCTTAAAATACCTTCTCACGCAAAAGATACAGTATAGTTGGTATACATTGTTTTAACGTGTTTTCTGCATGAAATTTCAGCATCTTTTCATACATAAAATTTTAATATCCTTCATATATATCAATATCTATAGATGTGTTCAAACTTCAATGCACGTACAGTTAAATAATTCTACACATTCGTTTAACTAAACAAAGTTTTATTTTCATTTTTTTTGTATTCCTACAAAATTTAACTAGTTCTAGTCCTGTTACGAAATGGTATAATAACCGTATAACCAATTTCCTCCTTAAGTTTAGTCTTTTAGTTGTATAAGACGTTTAAGTAGTTTTTCTTAAGATCTCACCTACTTAATATATATTTTGTAATGATTTTAGTTTTATTTGTCAAGCATATAGTATTTTCTAAGGATGATCTATATCTTTATTTCGTGTTCAAGAAAACTCTAGTCAAGTAATAAAGTATGATATTTACGAAAGCGATAAGGGCTAATTAATCTTGCTTTACTATTCCAGTATTCCCACGTCTTATGATAATTACTGTTGAAAGTTGAATATAATTACTAAAAACAAACTAGCTAACAGTGATGATGTCCGTAATTAAACCGTTAAATATTCTCGTCAACGGAAGTTGTACGTAATAAAATATATAAAATCTTGAAAAGACGACGGTCTCTTCAAACCACATTCCCATTTCCGAAAATCTAAAATGGACTTCTATTAAAAAATATATATAGAAAATAAACGAAAGTCGAAGGCGGCGACGAAAACTCAAGAGAAAGATACAAAAAGAAGAAAAAGTTGACCTTTGAAAACTTCGATTTTAAAATAATAAGGAAAAATTCAAAGTCTCATTAGCGTAGGATTCACTTCTCTCTTACCATTCCGCTCTTTTCCCCCTCATTTCCGCCACACTTATTCTCATCAAATCCACACACACACACATGTTATATATACACATTCACCTTCGCATTATTCACTTCATTCATTACTTAAACAAGAGCAAGTAAAATTAATAAACAACTAAACATTAGGAAGAGACAACACATGTATTACCAATTGTCTTCGTGTCGTACGATGGTTCTGCTCTTCCTTGTTCTGTTTCTAGCGGCTAGTAGTTCTTGTGCGACCACCACCGCAGGAATCGGAGCCAGAGCCACCATGGAGATGAAGACGATGAAGAACAGAAAGAACTTAGGGTTTAAATACAACCATATTTTTGGTTACTTGCCCAAAGGAGTTCCCATTCCTCCTTCTGGTCCTTCTAAGAGACACAACTCTCTTGTTGACTCTCTTCCTCATTGATTTCATTTGTTTGTTTATTCATTATATTTTTTGGGTTTTGTTTTGTAGATCAGATCAACATAGTTCACATAGAATATACTCTTTGTATATACTTGCATACGTCAATATGTACTACATGATTTTTTCTTTCTATGGACTAATATTTATGTTGAAGGTCATGATGGCCATATATATAATAGATCGAGAATTAAACTTAGTCTTGTTTATAATCTATACGTCTAATTATGCATCTTCCATACGATTATTCATATGCATCACACATCAAACACATGTTAGTATCAATCTTGTCATGTTCTTTAATTATGTCACAAGGTCATGTAGATGCCAACTTTATCCTGAACATATAATTACGCATAACTCCGTTTTTCTTTTAAAACAAAATGTTACACACACAAAATTGTGGTTTTTAGTTTTTTTTAAAAGAGCTGTAAAACTGCTTAAAACTTACAAAGATATACTTAATAATTACATACCAACTACACTTGTATTGTAACATTTGTCTTTCTCTTAAGTAGAATCAATACAATAATAACACTCAAATCTCTTCATGATTTGACACATCAGCTTTTTGAAGCTTTATAAACATGACATTTCAGAAAAAATAATCACCAATCAAAACATTTTATTAATACATCTCATCTACTTATTTTAATTTTTAAACTTAAATCTATTAAAAACCTAAATATTTTTTCTATTAATTTTTGTTTTATGTTTTACCAAACCAAGCCCAATAATTAATAACAACAAATAAAAAAATCATTATTTTATTTTTTTACCAAATCTAAACCTAAATAATAAATAAAAATAAATAAAAAATTAAATCACTGTTTTTTTTTGTCAAAACCAAATCCAAATAATAAATAACAACAAATAAATCTTTTTTTAAATGATATTTATTTTATATAATTACAAAAGATGATCAAGTGGCAATTTATTGGAGAAAATAGATTACATTTGCTATTAGCATAAATGTAATAAAAATGTATTGCTTTATTCTTATATATTTTATTTTTATACATACATTTATAATTAGTTAGCTAACTAAATTTAAATTGCTTATTCAGATTTTAAACATATAAATACATAACTTAAACTAATAAAAAAATAAATTTAATACTCATTTACATTATAAAAGTAATTTTATTATATTAATAATATATATAAAATTTAGAAAAATATCTCGCAGCATAGCGTAGGTAAATACCTAGTATATACTTAATAAATAAACACCACGCATCTCCAATAGTTTTTGAGTGGATAGTAGATACAAAACATTGGATATATAAAAATCCTCAAGACATGGAACAAACAAATTCCCTTTTTTGCAGCATTTAAGAAAAATAGGAAAATTAGAGAGACCAACAAATAATTAGAAAAAAAGGAGAAGAGAGAGGGGCATTCCGAGAATTGAACTCGGGACCTCGCGCACCCTAAGCGAGAATCATACCACCAGACCAAATGCACTTTTTGAAGCATTTCGTCCCAATTACTCACAAAAACGGATCGAATCCGCTCTTCACCATTTTCTCAAGCGGCCAGAACAAAGGCGTCGGGAGATTCAACCAATCGTACCAATCCCAACCGTCGCACTTCTCCGGCTCAAGATTCTCCGGCGCCTGAATCGGATCCACAAGCGTCGCACGCATGAACACAGTGACGTAGTGCGATGGCTTCGGCAATTCCTTGAAGACGTTGTTTGTTACAGTCAGTAGCTTCATCTTCTCTATCTCCAGCCCCGTCTCTTCCATCACCTCTCTCGCCGCACATCCTTCGAAACTCTCACCTGCTCAAATCCAAAATTAGCTGAAATTTTGCAAATTAGCGACTGCAATTTGGGGAGAGAGAGAAAGAGGGAGAGAAGAGAGACCGAATTCGAGGTGGCCGCCGGGAAGAGCGAAGGTGGAGTGACCGATTGATGAGCGGCGGCGACCTAATAACACCAAGTTTCCCTTGACGACGAAAACCACCACGGCGACTTTCGGCCTCGCAACTTCTGTCTCCATTTTATTTTTCGTTGAGTGGTGTCGTCTCGCCTGAGTCAGAGTGTGGAAAGTGAAGACTCTCTCGTATTTCGACGGGACTATTGGTGCGAAACGGTGCCGTATCGGTAATGAACATCATTGCACATTCCCAAAAATTAATTCAGATTTGCTGTATAGAAAATAACATTTTTATCTTCTTCTTCTTTTCCAGAATGCATAAACTCATAAATGTTAGACAACTTTCATGATCTTGTGATGAAGCTTTAAAGGAGAGCAAAGAGATTTGCGTTGGGATCATTCTGAATAATACAGTTGCTTGTATCGTTAATATAGTTGCTTATAGCAACTGAATAATATTTGCATATTTTTATAGCAACTTCTTAATGTATTACTGAAAAAATGTATTCACACCGTAAGCTTTATTTGTTGAAAAAAACATGAAAAACTATTGATTCTCACGGTAAGCTTTTGGCTTTTGGCTGTTAGTACATATTTTAACTACTGATTTTGGTTTTTTTCATATACACTAACTTAAAGTTTGGCTAAATCCTATATTAACCGTGATTATAATCCTATTGATAAAAACTCAGAAATTCATTTATGTTTTTGAAATAGCTATAGCCCATTGAATAAGTGTAACTAATCCTCCTAAAATAACTCAGAAATTCAATTTTTTTTGTTTGTTTGTAAAGTTGGTTAAACCTTAGTAGATTCTCGTAAAATTTCCCTTTTCTTATAATATCATGTTATGATTTTTGTTGTTTAGAGGAGAAAGAGTAATTTTTCTGTTCTGATCAAAGTTTATGAAGGAAGAAAAATAGGCACCATATGTTTAGGGGAAATGAACAAGTACCACAAATTTAATTGCGCCATAATTCGCTGCGTTGACCACCACTTGTCATCATGTGATTGCATCAACGAGTGTAAGAAAATTAGTAAGACAGCATAGCGAACAAACCATAAATCAATCGTCGAAACATTTTTAACGTTGATCACTAACACTCTCTCGTTCCTTCATCGGTACAATGACGGACACGACAGACGATATCGCAGAGGAAATCTCGTTCCAAAGCTTCGAAGATGATTGCAAATTGCTCGGCAGTCTCTTCCATGACGTGTTACAGAGGGAAGTCGGAAGCTCCTTCATGGTGAAGATCGAACGCATTCGAACACTCGCTCAGGTTTTTTTCTTTTGTCGCATCTCTCTCGTTTATACTGTTTCTTCACATATTATTATGCTAATTTTTTGTCAAATTTTTACGTAAAATAGTGATTTCATGATGCACGCGTTCGAAATATAACTAAACACACACAAAAAAAAATATCAATCTCTAGTAGTCATAACCATTGTTTGTCTTACTTTGAAGAGAGAAATTGAATTATCAAATTTAAGATTTGTTTATTTTATTCTCTAAAAAGGAAAATAAAAAGGGGAACCGTTCAAATTGCAAACGCTTCACGAAACGTTCACTTTTCAAACGTTTCAGAGTGCATTAAATTTGCGTTTGGCTGGTATTGAGGATACCGCAAACCTTTTGGAGAAGCAGCTGACTAGTGAAATATCCAAAATGCCACTTGAGGAAGCTTTGACATTGGCTCGTGCATTCACTCATTCTCTTAACTTGATGGGCATTGCAGACACTCATCACAGGTCATGATGGTCTTTTAACACTCTACAACACAAATATATACAAGTTATGAACATGCATTACAGAATCTCAAACATATTTGATATATATATATATAAATTCTCTCTTGTTTTCCAGAATGCATAAACTCATAAACGTTACACAACTTTCAAGATCCTGTGATGATATATTCAGTCAGCTATTGCAAAGTGGAATTTCCCCGGAAGAGCTTTACAAAACGGTTTGCAAGCAGGTCTAGCTACTTCTTATTGTATTACTTCAAAAACGGTTTCAATATTTTTCTAACAATATGGGTCACCATGTAATCTCGTGTTCTCAGTCTGTAATTTGATTGCTTACTATTGTTTATTGTCTTTAGGAGGTCGAAATTGTACTTACTGCTCATCCTACTCAAATTAATCGGCGAACCTTACAGTACAAGCATGTTAGAATTGCTGTAAGTTTCTAAAGCTATTAATATACATATAAGGAATATATACATTAAGAGTTAAAATTATACACTTTCTTGCAGCATCTTCTAGAATACAACAGCAGATCAGATCTCGGCCATGAAGACCGAGAAACGCTCATTGAAGATTTGGTACTCTCGATCCACCTTAATATGTTCCTTATAATGTCAGAAGCAGCAAAAACTAATAAACAATTCACATTTTAAAGGTTAGGGAGATAACTTCACTATGGCAGACTGATGAGCTTAGACGACAAAAGCCTACTCCAGTCGATGAAGCTAGAGCTGGTATGTCAAACTGAATTTGTATATTTTCTGAAAATTTTCATTTGACATATATACCATATTTTGTGTGTGTGTGTGTGTCCCTTTTGATTAATCAGGTCTGAACATTGTTGAGCAATCTCTTTGGAAAGCTGTACCACATTACTTGCGTCGTGTCAGCAATTCCTTAAAGAAGGTATAATTTTACTCAGATTTCTAACATATCTATATGAGGGAAAATCTGAATAATAATGAAGTTACGTAACCTTAAAGACTATATTGTTATTTTCTGTAGTTCACAGGGAAGCCACTTCCATTAACATGCACTCCAATAAAGTTTGGTTCCTGGATGGGAGGTGATCGAGATGGAAACCCAAATGTCACAGCAAAGGTTATAGCCTTCTTGATATTCTATTGTTAATTTCTATAGGCTTTAAACTCTAAACCGATATATGTTTTTTTTTTTATATTTACATCTCTATTTCAATATGAGTTTCCTAAAACTTACTTTTCCCATGAGAACAACCAAATTAGTTTACTTTAACATTACAATCACAAATTTTAGTTGCCATATACAATATTCCCTTAGACACACACTTGAATGTTGTGATATCATTTTTTTCAGGTCACAAAAGAAGTATCTCTCTTGTCTAGGTGGATGGCTATTGATCTATACATAAGAGAGGTTGATAGCTTAAGATTTGAGTTGTCTACGGATCGATGCAGTGACAGGTTTTCAAGATTAGCAGATGAAATTCTTGAAAAAGGTATGATTCTATCATTTTCTTTAAGATCATTACATTTTTTTCCCACTCATATCTTTCTCTAAAACCTAAAATGATGATATGTTTTACCCCCTCAGAAAGTTTAGAAAAAGATTTTGACAGAGGCAAACCAATTTTCTTAAACCAACAAAATTCATCCCTACCAACACAGCTTCCAGCTAGAGCTCACCTTCCTTCTTGCATTGGTAAAACAAAAAAAAAGTTCTCTTATATGTTGCATTAATAAATATTACCAACACCCACAATTTTTTGATGCATTAATCATGTTTTGTATATCTCATTTACATTGTAGAATATGGTGATTCACATCCTAAATTTGAAATAAGTACGACGACAGAGTTTATGCCACCCAATCTTCAGGTAAAACAAAAGCCTTTAAATATGTAGACATACATGCATGAAAACATAGTTTGGTTAAAGGGTTCTTCATTCTTGATAATTCTTTTGATATTTTTTAATTTTCATTATTTTACTTTACATTAGAAGCAAAATGAACAAGGCTCTCCAAAGCCACCTGCCGATGGTTCTCAGCTAGGTCTTACTTCGCGAGGTTCTTTCTCATCTACCTCTCAACTTCTCTTGCAAAGAAAACTATTTGCGGAATCTCAAGTCGGGAGGGCCAGTTTTCAAAAGCTACTTGAACCACCTCCACTTAAACGAGCCGGAATGGCTCCTTACCGTATTGTTCTTGGAGAAGTAAAGGAAAAGGTGCATATCTTAAGCTATTAAATCAAAATAATATAAAGATTTCTAATTAGCATTCATTTATTGATCTTCTCAAAGATTTTACTATTTTGTGATCATATATAGCTTGTGAAGACAAGAAAACTTCTTGAGCTTCTACTTGAGGGTCTTCCTTGTGAATATGATCCTTTGGTATCTTACGAAACATCAGAACAACTTCTGGAACCTTTGCTCCTCTGCTATGAATCTCTGGTAAAAATCTTAATTCCATGTGAGAAAACTTGGCAATTTCCATTAAAACCAATGTTCTTAACATCATTCTTTGTTCTCAGCAATCATCTGGTGCTGGTGTACTAGCTGATGGACGACTTGCTGATCTGATCCGTAGAGTTTCTACTTTTGGCATGGTTTTGGTGAAACTCGATTTACGTCAGGTGAAATTTTCTTCTATCAAACTGTTTTTCAGCCTTCTTGCTTAGTGACTGTACTCTTAATTCACATATGATTCATTTACCAGGAATCTGGAAGGCATTCTGAGGCTTTGAATGCAATCACAACGTACTTGGATCTTGGTACTTATAGTGAATGGGATGAAGAGAAAAAACTAGACTTTTTGACAAAAGAACTTAAAGGGAAACGACCCCTTGTCCCTCCGACTATTGAGGTCAGCATGCATGTTTAGGCCTGGCTTTTTTAATTGGTTCATAAGAAAAAAACTTAATATAAAATATATGAATATGTATTGTATATCAATTGTGCTCTGTAATATTTGTAGGTTGTTCCTGAAGTTAAAGAAGTATTAGACACATTCCGAGTTGCTGCTGAGTTTGGAAGTGAATCACTTGGAGCTTATGTGATTTCCATGGCTTCAAATGTATGCTTGCTTTGGTTTCTCTAGAGTCAAAATTTAGCTATAAGTTGTGACATTGATTTTGTTGGTAACTTGCCAGGCAAGTGATGTTCTCGCTGTGGAGCTTCTTCAAAAGGATACTCGACTTGCTGTCACTAGTGAACATGGAAAACCATGTCCTGGTGGAACGTGAGTTAAATCATCATCCAAAAAATATTTTAAAATTTTTATACTATATATAGCAACTACATAATGTTTTCTATTTTTGTATTGTTTTGATGCCTAATGTCATTGCTCTAATTAGGCTGCGAGTGGTTCCACTTTTTGAAACGGTGAAGGATTTAAGAGCTGCTGGTTCTGTGATAAGAAAATTGCTCTCAATCGATTGGTACATAGAACACATCCAAAAGAACCATAATGGTCACCAAGAGGTACTTTAACAACTAATATTCAACCATTTTATTTTGTAGAATAACGGTTTTACAAACTTGTGAAAATGTTACGTGCAGGTG